AAACACTCAGAATAAAAATTCTTTTGTATTTTGGATAATAAAATTCAGGAAGGCTGCTCTTGTTTGGAGATGGACTGTGATGCCCGAATGGGCTCAGATCATGGTCCTGAGTAATTCCCACTCTTTGGCCTCCCAAGCAGCTAGGACTACAGGTGCATGCAGTCATGTCCAATTGTTAAAGATGCTTAATTATTTCAAATAAAAAGTTTGGAGATGGGTATTTTCCAGGATGGCAGGGCAACCCATAGCGCCTCTGAGGTCTCTGATTTCACTTCCATAGTTGCAGTATATCTAAACCAATAAGGAGATTTCATTATATTCATTGATGGTCAAGTGGGTGATATGAGAATGGAGGATAGGAATGTGTTCCGTCTTGTTAAGGTCTTTTCTGTGGAAAAGAACAGAACATTTTCTTTTTCTTCATCAGAGGCCCTCTCCTTAGCAAAAGGAAGTGGTTTGGACTTACAGTTGAATGGTTGGTGTCTTTGCAGCTTAAGGAAATGCTCCGCCCCAAGCGACAGAGATAGCTGCTTTGTGTAGCTAAGAAGTAATGGCTATGGTGACTCTCAGGCAATAGTACGCACAAATTTTCTTGACAGACTACATATTACTACTTTATATTAGTTTTGATATTTTTATTCTTTGAATATTTATAAAATGTGTTTGCTTGATTTTTACCATTGATTTTTTTTAATGTTATATAAAATTAGATTTTTTTTCCCTTCTATTTCTCTTTCCCTTGTAATTTTGAGAAACCTTTTATATAACATTTAGGTTTTGTTTTGTTTGATTTTTTTTTTTTTCCATTTAACTTTGTGTTGTTGGTTGGTAATAGTAACACATGCCTATAATCCCCATTATCAGAAGACTGGGTAAGGTCGCGATGAATTTGAGGCCAGATAGTTAAAGGTCAGCCAGGGCGCCATTGTAGGGCCTCATCCCTCAGAGGTGTCATCAGTAGGATGCGCTTCTGGGGAGAATGTTCAAGTTCTACATAACATTTCATTTATTGTAGGTATTTCATTTCTTTTTCTTCATTTTTAGGGAACCTAGAAAAGTTGTTCTTCATCGTGGCTCAACAGGACTTGGTTTCAACATTGTGGGAGGTGAGGATGGAGAAGGAATATTTATCTCCTTCATCCTGGCTGGAGGACCCGCTGATCTCAGTGGAGAGCTCAGAAAAGGAGATCGTATTATATCGGTAGGACCTAATGATTAGATGTTTTTATTGTCTTTACTGTTACCTGTTAATCATTTAAAAAATGAATTTTAAAAATAACTTAAAATATATTTCTGATACGCATTGTAGAGTTCAGTCTTGTTTGGTTTTTTGTTTTGTTTTGTTGTTTGTTTGTTGTTGTTATTTTTAAACCAAACTGACATTTTCCGCATCTAACAGTTTATTGTGATATAATGATTACCATTATTTGTGGCACTTGGCTGAACCTAGGGCCTCTCATCTACACATCTGCTCCACCACTGAGCTACATCCCAGATGGGATACAGTTATTAATTTACTAATTACAGATTTCTGTCTCATATCTTTGCTTTTTATTTACACTACAATATTCTCCATTTTTTTCTTTTTTACTTTTTCTTCAGTACTGATTTTTTTAACTATGTTTCATTCACCTCCTTTTCTCATAATTTCACTGAATAGAGAACTTGTCAGCATTTTTTTTTTCTCTTTCAGCACTTTAAGTTATTGGGTATGAGTGGTAGTGAGCACACATGCTGTGGGTGGGGGTCAAAGGAAGTCTCCCTTAGTCAGCTCTCTTCTGCCACGGCTTCAGGACATCAACTTCAGGTTCACAGGCTTGCATGGCAGTGCTATGACTTACTGTTCTGCCTGCCATCTTACGTCTCCTCTGTCAGTTTTGGGAGTTCTGTCTGTCAGTATCCCTTCAGAATTCCCCTGTGTTTGTTAAACTGTGTGATACTATTCCACGGATGATGAGATGGTCTGTCTTTCATCTTTCCCTGTCTTTAAGTTTCAGCTTGGAAACTTGCTGTGACTTATGTTCAAGTTTCCTATTTCTTACTTTTGCTAATTTTCCTATACTACTAAGTCTTTCAAAGAAAATCTCTGATCATTTTTTTCCCTAGCAATTCCATTTGGTTCATTTTTTGATAGTTATTATGCCTTTGCTCAACCTCTCCAAACTCATCATCCACATCGGCTGTCTCTACAGCTGTTAGCATTTTCATCATCATGACTTTATCATAATAATCATTATTATTTTTAGTAACAAGGTCTCACTAAAGCCCTGGTTGGCCCGCTACCCTCCATAGTGTAGTCCAGCATGGCCAGCAACTCTTGGATATCCTTTTGCCTCCGCTTCTTAGTACTAAGATCCAGGCATGCGCGACCACAGCCAGCTAACTTCTCTTAGTCTTCCATCTTTGCTTGTCTTATGATCTTAACTATCATGAGACGTTCTGGATAAAATAACACACACGATGATTGCTGCTAAGCCTGAGTTCACTTCCTGGAACCCACGGGTGGAAAGAGAGACCCAGCTGTAGTTGTGCTTTGACCTTACCCCTCCTCCTCCTCTCTCTTCTCAGGGAGGAGTGGGCGTGCAAACTGGGGGGGGGGGGAGTCTGAGGGGTCTCCCCCACCTCCTGCCCTCCTCTCTTGTTCTCATTGAAGAACCAGATTTTGTTTAGAGCATGAAGTAAATACTATATGTTATCATTCTGTAACAGAATGATTTGTATGTTGGGGATTGATCCTAGGGGAATGATTCGTGTTTAAGGCTTCCAGAATCAAGTTGTACGCACATGATCTGTAATTGAACTATATTTCGTTAGAGCTTCAGTTTAATTTACTGGGACTTTTTGGTTGGTTGGTTTTTGTTTTGTTTTGTTTTGTTGGTTTTTGGTTGGTGGTTAGTTGGTTGATTGGTTTTTAAGAGTAGGATCAAGCAAGCATTTTTTGAGGACTGGACAGCTGAGCTGCCAACTTGCAAAACTACTTTATAACTCAGCTCCCAACTTTTCAAGGTGCTGTAGTCCTTTTTGTTCTCTGAATGTCCGTCCTGTGTTTGTTCTTTACCTCGGGAATATCTGTTTCCCATTCTGTACTCTCTTCTGTCTGCACTGACTTGGAGGGCTTTGTTTGACCTCTCTTGGTTCACTTCTGTTCCCAAGCAACTAAAAGTAAAGAGTTCCTTTTGTTAATTTTTAACAGATTTTCAGTGTCAGTTTTTAGTACTTTGACCACATTGAATATTATCATGATCTACATTTAGTAGGCTACTGTCTTAGTTTGGGTTTTTATTGTTGTGAAGAGACACCTGACCATGGCAGCTCTTAAAAGGAAAGGAAAACATTTAATGGAGGTGGCTCACTTACAGTTTCAGAGGTTAGTCCATTATCATCATGGTGGGGAGCGTGCTAGGGTGCAGGCAGACATGGTGCTGGCTACATCATGGCTTGCAGGCAACCAGAAGTCAGCTGAGACACTGAGCGAATCTTGAGCATAGGATACCTCAAAGCCTACCCCCACAGTGACATACACAAGGCCATACTCACTCCAACAAAGCCACGTGTCCTAATAGACCACCCACTATGAGATTATGGGGGCCAGTTACATTCAGACTAGCCCAGCTCCTGTCTTGTATTTGGAAGTACCCTCTACAATGAAGAAACGAGTACGTCTGTCTTAATGCTCATGTTTCAGTCCCCAAACACTCGGGCAAGATCCATTGTAATGAGGTTAGCAGGTTGGGCATCTAGATTTGTCTTGTGGCTTCCTGGAAATTTTGTTTTCCCCAGTCTACAAGAAACCAGATGTTGAGTAGTTTTCTTTAGTGGCTTCTTCTTATTTCCATCTGTTCCTCCTTCCTTCACCACTCTGTCAAGGATGAGAGCAACCATAAGTGTCTTCTTGTCACTTTTGGACACTGTTTAAGTTTGTCTTTTATTACATTGACTTTTTGTTTTCTTTGAGGGGCAAACCTCAAAGGGCAGAGGGAGGATATGGAAGGACGGGGAGACGGGTGGAATTGGGGTGCATGATATGAAAGTCACAAAGAATCAATAAAAAGGTGTTTTTTTAAAGTGCCCAGTAGAACTCTCGGGGCTGGATAATAGAGATGGCATGGATGTTCTTGAAGGAGTTTCATGGGTGTACATAGTTGCCAGATATTTCCATCTTAATTAGTCATAGAGGTTTTTGTTTTGTTTTGTTTTATAATTGTGAAGTTATACTGTAGTTTAGTCTTTTAAAAATAAGTTATAGTGTGGTAAGGATAAATTGGTGGTGTCATTAAACAAATTAGCTAGTTAGGAAAATAAAATTAGCTTAGGACCTTCACTTCACACCTCTATCAAAGTACATTTTCAGGTGGCATAGGGTTTGGTGTGAAAAACTCAGACCATAATAGATAATTTTAAGTTGCCAGTGTGAGACCAGCTTATGTGGGTCACTGACACACAATGTTGCCAAAATATGTTAGGCCAGCAGCACAGCCAAGACCACTCCAGAGAGTTCAAGGCTCACCCTGGTTATGTTTAAAGACAGCATTGTTTGACAATATACATCAGTAACATGGATATGTAAATGTTTACTAGTTTTCTGTGGGGAAATGCCATGAAAGCAAAGGAGAAAAATACTTAGGAGCAAGAGGAAAATGTGCAAAAAGATCTTCAAAACTGAACATGACCTAAAAACTCTAGGAAAAACATTTAAGTACCTCATTAGATAAAATTCACAAGCACAAATAATAATATAGAGTTTAAAACAAAAGTGGTTACTAAATATATGTGTGTGTGTGCTTATATACTTATATATGCTTATATACTTAAAATAATAGGTATGTGTTACATACATTACTGTTCATAAATTTGTAAAAGATATAAACCGAAAATAAGAAAAATGAATGCTGGCTCTGAGCTGGCAAGAAAGGACAAACACTAAATCACTAATCAAAGGTTTGGATTGTAATTTGTGATAGAGCATGTACTTAGCATTCGTAAAGTCATGGATTTGATCCTAATACTAATATAAATATATATTTTATGGTATATGGATTATATATGTGGAGCAAGAAAGAGAAATCAAAAGTCCAAGACTAGACAGTTTCACTGACAATCTTTCAAAAAATTAAGAAACTCCTGAAAATCAGAATAATTGTAATATTTTCCCAACTCAGTCTGTGAGGCAGACAGAACAAGAAAGCTACATTGTTTGTGAATGTAGACGTTTAGACCCTCAACAGAGTAATAGAGTGTTTCTAGAAACACAGTCATGCATTGTAGCCAAGAGGACTTGATCCAGGGAATGCGTGGTGGTTCTACAGAGTAGAACCAGTTAGAAACCATTCTGGCCGGGCGTTGGTGGCGCACGCCTTTAATCCCAGCACTCGGGAGGCAGAGGCAGGCGGATCTCTGTGAGTTCGAGGCCAGCCTGGGCTACC